GCATGGCTGCCCTCTCAAGTGCTTCTGGATTAAGACCTCAGCACCATCTCTCCTTCCTCCCTTTCATTCCTTTTACCAAACCCTGAAAATTCTTGGGTATTCCCTTAACAATGCCTCTTGAGGGCTTCCTCTTTCTTAACTGCGTTTGGTATATTTGCTTCCAGGCTTGTCACCAAAAGCCTGTACTGCAGGAAGTCCCCCCCACCCCCACCCTGGCAGCACTCCCCTGCCTCAGGTCCATCCCATTCAATCTCGTCTTCACATCAAGTTTGTTTTCCTAAGGTGCAGCCTCTAATCCATCATTCCCTGTTCATACCTCTTCAGGACACCTCACTGCTTTTAGCCCTGTTTCTTCACCGTCGACCTCACTTTCTTGACTTAGAAAGTTATGAGAATGCTGTAGGAGGAAGAATTTTGGTTTTGATATCATATAAACCTGGAACTTTGGGGGATTGCTTTAACGTTTCTAGGCCTTGGTTTCCCTATCTGTAAAATGAGAATATCTACTTCATAGGGTAGTGTGAAGGTTAAGTGACAATATGAATCTAGATATAGACTCCTAATAAAAGTTCACTTCTTTCTTCCATTTTCTACCAGTTTTCTATACAAACCCTTTTCTATACAAACCCATGCTAGAAAAATCAAATGAAATCCCACTGGGCTTGCTTTCTTATCTGTTACATGAAGGGTTTCAGTTTAACTAAACTTCTCAGGCTCTTCCAGCCTGACATTCCAATAGACAGTGTATCATAATGGTTAAGAGCTCATTTTTGAACTCAGAACTGGGTTCTAATTAGATTTTTATCAGTTTAGCTTGATATTTGACCCTGGAGAAATGGACCTCACAAAGCTTATTCCTTGTGGATAATATGGGAATATAATATCTATCTCATGGGATTGTTGTGTCACATGAGCTAATGATTATAAAATGCTTAGTAGACAGCCTGACACTTAGTGGATTCTACTCTATCAGAAGTCTTCCCTGATCCTGTTGAACTCTTAGTAAATCTTTTCTGTTGAATTTAGTATCCCTTTGAACCCTGATGGTATGTTCATGCCATTAATTTTATTTGCAAAATAAGTTTTACTGTCTTTTCCTACAACTTAACTTCACATACATCTATGTGAACCCTCATCAAGAATGGGACAAATCATTTTATTGTCTCTTTTCACAGATGGTCTTATGAGATTTTTCCTAAAAGTCCAAGATCAGCAAATGACTGACTGAAGGTTTCTATTTCCTCTTCCCTTCCCAGGTCAATGGGATGCTACCTACGGAAATCCAAATCCTCCAGGAGAAACTACTACACTAAACACAACAGGAACCCCAGAGTCAAGATCCATGAGAATATCTGTTACACAACTTTCCCTACCCAGTTTAGCAAAACACCTGTTTCGAGCAACAATACATCACAAAAGGCCACCCCCAAGACCCTGGTGTGCATCTGACTCAGTACAGAATAGGAATCTGGATGTGGGTGGAGACTGAGGACCCAGGCCACTCCAAGTTCTATCCAGAAGAGGCAGCACCAAATGGTAACCAGTTCTTCCACTGATCTTCCCCATTCCCACCAGAATCACTAGACTTTTTCCAGTGATCCAATGAGGAGCCAGTTTTGCCCTGAAGGATTAAGAATCTAGATATGATTAGATGCCCTTTCAGTTTTGAAAGAATGAAGGATTATTAATCCTATGGGCACAGGGCAATGGTAATAACACCTTATGCTGGCATAGCACTCCCCCTCAGCATCACCCCCCTAAGGGTTACCAATTTTCCCACCTTATCATTACCTTTGATCTCATCAGCTGGGTACTTTCTCCAACACTGCCCACCTTTTATAGGGAGCTGAAGTGATTTGCCCAAGGTCCCATGACTAGGGTCTCTGATTCAATTCTTCAATTAGAATGGACTGTAATGTCCGCTACTCTTTCTGTCAAAACACAGCTTCCAAAATGACCATCATTCTTGTACTGTCTGTAAAACTTTGGCCTTCATCTACCTACCATATTCTCTATCAATATGAAAGGAATATTTTAATCACTATCATAAAACAGAAGACCGGAATCACTTACCATGAATAGAAAGTGACCTTAAAAATAAATACAATGAGGGATGCCTGGGTGGCTCAGTCAGTTGAGCATCCTACTTTGGCTCAGGTCATGACCTCACTGCTCCTGGGTTTGAGCCCAACATCGGGCCCTGTGCTGACAGCTCAGAGCCTGGAGCCTGCTTCAGATTCTGTCTTCGTCTCTCTGCCCCTACCCTGCTCATGCTCTGTCTCTCTCTGTCTCTCTCTCTCTCAAATATAAAATAAAACATTAAAAAATTTTTTTAAAATAAATAAATACAGTGAGGGGCACCTAAGTGGCTCAGTCAGTTAAGCATATGACTCTTGATTTTGGCTCAGGTCATGGTCTCACAGTTCATGAGCTCAAGCCCTGTATCAGGCTCTGTGCCCACTGTGCCTGCTTGGGATTCTCTCTCTCTCCTTCTATCTCAGCCCCCCACCCCCACTCATGCTCTCCCTCTCTCAAAATAAATAAATAAAAATGAAATGATGTTATCATATCCTAGTTAGATTTCCTTCCCCTGTCCAAGACTCAGAACCTGAGGGTCCCTTTCCCTCATTAAAAAAAAAAAAAATTAATGACTGTTAGAGAGGCACTAAAGACTAGGACCAAAATGAAAGCTTCTCCTCTTTGATGCAATTAGAATTGAAAGGGAGTCAAAAGGGAAATAATTTTCTCATTTCTGACTCAATATTATTTAACGCAGTGTCTATCTGCCTCCTAAAATGCTCTCCGATACCAACAGTGATGCCTGCCCCCCCTACTCTGGGAAAATTGCACCACACTATAAAGAGTGCCTGGTTTTTAAATCTGTTAAGAAAAGAAGCTCAAACCACAGCATGAGAGAGGTTCCATTTGCATAGAGGAAAATGACCTCAGGTTTTTGTAAGTATGTGTCTCCTCAGGAGCTATGAAGGACTTTTGTACAAATTTTTATCTAGTAAGTGAAGCTTGAGAACACTAGAGACCAGGGCAGTCCTTTCCCAGAGAACTTTAAGAACGGGCCAAAGATACGGAGTGGAATACACTCTTTAGAGAGATAGGAACTTGGGGGTCATTTAAGGCAGAATCTCTTCCTCATCATTCCATAAATGCATATACAAACTCAGATGCATGGGCATGCATGTGGATGGAGACACACACATTGTCTCTTATGCCCCATTCCCACAAGTGGTCGCCCATCCTCCACTTGAATGTGCTTGACCATGGGGCCTCAGCTGACAGCTCCCTACATTGCTGACATCAGTCCTATAGTTGAATGAATGGCTTGTTCTCAGACTGTACTGTGCAGATTGTCATCCCACAAAACCTCACCCATTTACCTAGGCAGTCTGTCAGCAGGGCAGAGGCAGGGTATGCTCCATTACCCTTAGAATTTCATTCTAGAGCTATGCTGTCCCAATAGAAAATTTTGTGCTGATGTAAATGTTCTATAATGTTTACTGTCTCATGCAGCAGCCAGGAGACACCTGTGACCTTTGGGCATTTGATATATAGCTAGTGGGAATGCGGAGTTGGATTGTTCATTTTACGTAAAATTTTTTATTGTTTTATTTGTTTTTGAGAGAGAGACAGAGACAGAGACAAAGTGCAAGCGAGGGTGGGGCAGAGAGAGAGGGAGACACAGAATCCAAAGCAGGATCCAGGCTGTCAGCACAGAGCCCGACCCAGGGTTCACATTAGTGAACCACCAGATGTCAGTTGGTTAACCGACTGAGCCACCCAGGTGTCCCAGCATTTGACTTAATTTTAATCACATTAAAATAGCCACGTGTGGTTGGTGGCTACTTATTGAAGAGCACAGCTCCAGAGTATTTGATTAAGATAACTTCTGGATGAGTAGCCCTCCCAGATGAGAGACAACAAACTTCACCCCACTCCTTTTATCCTGCTTTGCACCATCAGCCATTATTCCATCCCTGGCTCTTCAAATGGGAAAGAATTTGGAGGGATGAGCCCATCCCCATTCAAAATATCACTGTCTCCATCCCATTCTCCTCATATTCCCCCTCTTTCCCTGCATACTAAGGCTTCCCAGGGGGAGCCAGATTTTTTTTTGCAGGGAGACAAAACTGAGAAGATTTAAAACTTACTGCCAAGAAGAAGCAAGCAAATATGCCCCAGGAGTATGTATGAAGGGACAAACAGAATATGAAAAATGCCATTTCCATCCTGCTGCTTTGCAAAAAATACACATGCGATTAAGGAAGTAATGTCTATTTTCTTAGATAAAGGAATTATTGTAAATTTTCTTAGATGTGGTAATGGTGTTGTAGTTATGAAAGAAACGTTCCTTATTTTTGGAGATACCTGTTGGGACTTAAGAGTGACATGCCATGATGTACTATTAGTGTGTGAGGGGGGGAGGGGGGACATAATGTTGGTGTATGAGTGTCCAAATACATATGTAGATATATATATCTATATATATACACACAAGTAGATGACTGTATAGATTAGACAGATTGGGTAGATAGTTACATAAACATATAGATACATTAAGTAGATGACAGCTAAATGCATACATAGTTATATATATATAAATAGATCACACAGATAGATACATAGATTGGAAGAGAGGAGGATAAAAGACAGCTAGATAGATGATAGAGAGCAAACTATATCGTTATTAAAAGCAGGGGTGGGTGTATGAATATTCATGGGAAAAACAAACAGGAAGTACTGCTAATTTAAAAAAAAAGTTTTTATTCCTGCCAACTAGAGGCCATTCAAGACCGGTGTGAGAAGTAGGTGCGCATGGCTTTCCCAGGTCCTCCAACCAGGTGCCACATAGGAGGGGCAGCGAGGCAGGACCAGACCAGGTCCACAGATGAGGAGGAAGAGTCACAAGAAGGAACCTGTAGTCTGCTTGGGCAGGACGATCTTAGATCCTCCCCACCCCATCTCCTTTCCACTCTGGCCCTCCTCCCTCATTCCAGGCCTTGCAGGAGTGGGGAGCTGGACCAGAGCAAGGCCACAGGGGCACCAAGACTGGCCATGGAGGCAGTGGAAGGAAGGGTAAGGATGGCAAAGCAGTACTGAATCCAGGGAGTTCAGCTGCAGGAGACAGGTGGCCTGCAGGGACAGAGAGAGGGTGAGTTTGGATTTGTTGCTGTCACCCCACCTCCCAAAGTCACTGGTGTGGAGAGGGACAGATATCAGTTCTCTACCCTGGATATATATACTCACATCCCAATCCCAATCCCCTTTCCTGCTATGTCTGTCAGTGGAACTATAGACGCATGAGGGGCTAATGTCCAACTTGTAGGCCATGCAAAGAATGAAGAAAGCTGTATCAAAGTTCCTTTGATAACCCCAACTGGAGATCCATGCCCTCTTGAGGGTCAAGGAGTAAGCCTTCCCCACACCCCACAGGGTGAGGCCTGGCCTGTGGATTCTTACCACAGCAGGGCTTGAGAGAGGCTTGGGGTGAGTTGTCATTCAGACACCTGTCTGGTGCTGTCCCCCAGCACAGCTGATAGCAGGAGGGACCCAAGGATTCCAGGGTAGGCAGGACGGCTGAGGGCACACTCCCAGGGAGCTGCTACAAAAAGCAAGAGGGGATCCTCGGCTGTCAGTGATGCCTCCTATTTAGCAGAACTGGGGCCCCAAGGCTGCCCCCCTGCCTCCGACTGTCTCCTGCACAACTCTAGAGGGCACCATTCACATAGTAGACTAAGAGCATGGTGTTTTCTGAAGTGTGTATTGTAGGAACCAGGAGCATCAGGAATTGGGAGAAGCAGTGAGTCTCATGTCTTCCCAATTGATGAACTTCCCTCTCTTGCTGGATACCTGTGCAGAGATGATCCCAGGGGAGGCATTGGACACAGTCGGTACATGGGAAGCACCTACAAGGTGAGAGTAGATCCACTCAGAAGGAGGAATAGGTCTGGGGAACAGAGAGTAGTGGTGAGAAGCAGGGAGGTTCTAAGAAAGATGGCAACTTCTGGCAGGGATGGGAGGAGATGGATGCTATAACCCTAAACTGCCTTCCTTCCCAAGGCAGAGCCTTGGGAGACTGGGGAAGAAGGATTAAAGATCAGGGATGGTAAACTGGGGGTAGTGCCGACCTAAAGACCAGAGACTCTGAATGCCGAGCATCTAACACAGGGTCTGGCACATGGGAGATGCCAACTAAATGTTTGGTGGGTGGATGGATGGATGGATGGATGGATGGATGGATGGAGAAGTGGATAGGTAAGTGGGTGGATGAACAGGTGGTTGGGTGGATGGATGGACAGATGGGTGAGTAGATGGATGGATAGGTGAGTGGATGCATGGATATATCCATGCACACATGGATGGATGGAAGGATGGGTAGGTAGATGAGTAGATGGACAGAAGGATGGATGTGCAGGGAAATGACCTGGAATCTGCATTTCCCACTTGAGCTTCTCTTGTCGGCGCCATTTGGCTCTTCGGTTGGAAAACCAGACCTGAGGGAGAGCAGAATAGTGTAGCTGGCTGTGCTCTTCACTTCCTGGCACCTACTGCTCTTATCACATGTTTCTGGTCTGGACTCAGAGCGCAGACCCTTCCTCAGACCTGATGTCCTCCCTCTCTGTTCTGGCCTTTATTCTCTGTCCCCTTCCTCACTTCAAAGGCTTGGAGTAGAGAAGAGAGGAGAGCAATCAGCAGAAGGAGAACAAGGAGGGTCTTATGTCTGATTTTTTTCTATAAACAAATCTTTTTCCACTTTTTTCATCCCATCCCCACCTCACCAGAACCCAAAGCCACCTCAGCACAGAGTCTTTGTTCTTGTATTTTGTGCACCTTGTGTGGCAGAGTTCACTCACCCTCACCGTGTCCTCAGGCAGAGAGGTGGCAGCAGCCAGCTTTCCACGGGCCACTGAATCAGGATACTGCCCACGCTGGAACTCTACAGAGATCAAGGCTCAAATAGTAAGGTTATGGGGAGAGGAGCAAGGCATGGGTCTCCCCCTCAGGCCCTACTTCCACCTGTTATGACCTTAAACTACCTTCCTCCCTAAAGCGGGGCTACCCACAGCCTCCACTTCTCAGCCTTTGCCCACAGGCCATGACATATGTCACACCAAGCACCCTTTCACCTGCTGTCTGCCCCAGCCCTGGCACCTTTCTCCAGCGCCTCAGCTTGGCCCGGAGAGAAGATGGTCCGATTCCGGTGGCCAGTCCCTGGGTGGGGACCACGGGGAACCTCACACCCACTATGGGGAGTGTGAGGAATTGGAGTCACAACATCTGTAAAGGGGAACAATGGCTTGTTGTGGTTTGTGATGGTGATTCTTCTCATCAGATGAGGTTCCCAAGGCCCTGGGGCTGTGGATAAGGGACAACGTGGATACAAGAGCAGAACCATGCTCATAGGGCATTCACAGTTTCTTGGAGGTTACTAAGCGGGCACTTTGTGGGAGGCATTCCCAATGCCATGGTCGAGTGCATGCTTAGTGTTTGGGGAAACAGCAGCAAGGCTGGTCCAGGTTTGCATGATCCCACAGAACATGAAGGGCACTCTGAGAGCTGTGCATGAGGCATAGGGAGGGTGTGGGAAGTCTGGCCCCGCCGTTTCCTCAGCAGATCCTGTGAACCTAGGGGCCAGAGGACCTGAGTTCTGTTCCAGGACCAGCCAACAACTAGCTGGTAACCTTGGGTAAGCCATTTCTCTTCTCTAAGCTTCAGTTCTCTTCTGCCAGAAGAGAGCAAGCCTCCTAGCCAGGCCCTCCTTATTGTCTTGTGAGTGAGGGTGATCCAGGAAACAACAAGAAAGGGCTTTGCAAACTGTAAGATGCTTCCATTTGCTCTGATCATTCCTGTAAAATGCCTACGTCTGCAGCTCCAAAACCCACCTGGCGTCCTGAGCTGTGCCCAAGGCAGTCGGTGGTCCTCCTGTAGCGCCCTCAGGACTCGGTTGATGGAGGAGACCTGGGGGTATCAGGATGTTGAGTGGGGAGATGGTGCACAGATCCAGGGTTGTAACCTGAGGATATTTCCCCAGTAGCCTTTCTCTCCTCTCTCCGGGCCCACACATCTTTCCCAGGGAGGCCTCCTCTCTTCCCCCACTTTCTTCTTCTCTCCTGTCTCACCACTCCCACTTTTCAGAAGGGGGCCCAGCAACCCTGCCCCGCCAGCCTGAAATGGCCTCATTGCCAAGTAAGGGATCTTCTTCATAGACAGCCTGTTCACCAGCCCTGGTACAGGGAGGGGAGAGCACTTACACTCGGAGTCTTGTCCTGGGTGCAAAGCCCTTCAGCACAGAGCTGGCGTTGGATCTCCCAGGCAAAGAGGGCAGGGCACTCACCCTTCAGCTGGGCAATTCGAGCCACCACAGGGGGTGTGGCCAGACGGGGCTTGCTTCCCCCAATCCCCTTGGGCTCCAAGACACCTGTGCGGTAGTAACGGGCTAGGATCTTGCTCACACAGCCATTAGATACCTGGATCAGGAGAGAAGCAGGGACAGGTAAGGTATATGGGCAGAGGGTGAGTGTCCCTGGGGCAGCAGGAGGCTCCAAGGCAAAGTGAGACTTAGTGGACCAGGCTGCAGAGTTAAGAATTCAGCCTCACCTTTGGGAGCCTGAAGCTCCCCATCCCAGACCCCAAGAGGGTTTTCTAGGAAGTAGCCCAACCCCCAACAGCCCTCAGAGTCTGCAACAGCCTCAGACGTGCCTTAAGAGGGTGCTTTGTCCAGCTCCTTGTCCCCATCACCGGGTAAAGCACACTACCTTAAGGCTCCGTGAGATGTCACAGGGCCGCATCCCGCTGACTGCCAGCCTCACAATCTGCTGCCGGGTGTTCAGGGGCAGGGGCCGGCCGTTCACAAAAAGCCCCCCCAGTTGATTCACACTGCTGATCCCTGAGCATGAGAAGGAGGCATTGACACATCTCCCCCTCCCCATCCCACCTGTGGCAAGGAGGACCCTCTTGAAGGGGGCTGGGAGTTACTCAGGCCCCTCCAGTCTGGTTTCCTACCACAGAGAAAGTCCCCTCCCCAGGGGACTGCTCCCCTTCTGCTCCCAGGGTCCCCTGGTTCCCACTTTCTTTAGGAGGTGGCTCATAGGTGAGTCATTGCTTTGGGGCCATTTGTGCTGACCCTAGTGATCTAAGGGAAGCAGAGCGGAGCAGGGAGGGGTGACTGAACCGAGCTCCCGCAGAACACTGGCCAAGGGCAGGAAACCATGCAGATGGAAGCAGGACCCTGAGATATTCCTTCCCTCCTTGCACCAACCTGTTCTTCTCACTTCTCCCAGGTGTCTTACCATCCTGTTGCATGTTCCAGGCTGACACTTCTCACAGAAGGACAGGAACTGGGAAGACTGGGGAGAGGGGTTCCTCCTGGGAGCTCCTTCTTTGGTCTTGGAGCTCAGTCTACAATGATCGAGGTTATTTGGGTGAAGTCTCTTGCTCAGAAGGGTCTTGGGTTAGAGTGTTTTGTGATAGAGGGCCACGTTTCTAAAAGCTGCCAGAAGGTTTGCTGAGAAAATCCAAATTCTCTTTACTTATGCCCTTCTGTGAGGAACTAAAACATCACAGGGCCAACAGAGGACTGGATCTTTCTGGATGGCCTGATAAGGGTCTGGAGGGTGAGAGGGTTCTCATTGCTCACGCATACATTATAAGAGCTCGGGGAGGTGGAAAAGGCTTATGCTTCCAAATGCTCAGGCTTTCCCTTTTGCAAATGGACAGCTGTGGTCTCTGATCCCTCAAAAGCCTTCTTAGCACTTGGGCCTCCTAAGTTTAGTCTCAGTAGGGTCAAACCCCAAAACTTGGAATATTCTGCCCAGCCAGAAGAGGGCATCAGTGACCAAAGATCCCAATTGCCCTGGTCTGAGGCTAGAGACCAGGTTCAAGACTCTGCCTTCACTATCAGGAAGCTATTAAGATTAGTTTCTCCAAACCACTTACCAGAAAGCTTTCCTCAGAAAACTTCAGGAGAGGGTCTTCCTCCTGATTTTTTTTTTGTACTCTCCAGAAACCTCTGGGGAAACACAGGGGCTCATTTCCACCCCACCCTTCAAGGTTCTGGTCCCACACACTGGAAGTATTGATGAACAAGCATGAATTACTGGCTTCTCTCAGAAGATGCATCTCTAACCTGCTGGGGTCATTGGTTCTTACTAACTCTGGAGAGTTCTAGATCTCGCAGTGAGGCAGCTTCACTCTTAGAGACCAATTCCCTGGGATCAGACATTCATTGAACTAGCAGAAAGCATGTTGAAGGGAGAGAGTGAGGAGCAGGAGAGAGCTGCATGGTCACTAACACAGAATTGTGAGAAGAAGAGACTCTCTGAGGAGCAAGGGATGCTTTGTCTCTCTTGCTTTCATCAGCAAGCAACAGGAGTTGAAACCACCTCCTTTCATGCCTAGAACCCCAGCAGGACTGAGGTGACCCCAGGAAATAGCTTGTGCATAGAACTTTCCTGTGATAACTATGTCATCTTGGCTAGTTAACTAATCTGCAATGATTTGCTGAATAAAGTATTAACCATCAGCACACTGCTGGTTGTTCAGGATTAAGGGAGTGAAAAGAAAAGGAACAAGGGTTTGTCCTCCAAGAGATCACAGTGCAGCCGGAAAGAGGAGAAAAGCACAGGAGAAACAAGGAACTCATGGATTATGGCACCCGGAGCTGCTTTTCAACTCAGTGGCTGAACTGGCTTTTACTACTTTTTACTACTATTCCTCTCCAGACGGGTAGAGACACATTCCCCTTCAAGTTCTCATCTTCCCAGAAAGTCAGGAAAGAAGGCAGAGATCTTTCCAAAAAGAAAGCTGAGGCATTCCCACAAATCAGGGACCACCCAGGGAATAAACCTCCAGGAAGGGTTAGAAGCCAGTCCCTCACCAGAAGACAAAATTTCCAATTCTAATTGTTGGCACAAAGGAGCCCCCAACCCTGCTTCTGTATGTGGGATTGCCAGCTAAGCAATGGAGACAGGAGAGTCAAGCTGGGATTGTAAAGGGCTCTGCCAGGGCAGTGGGATATGGGAGCTCAAGATATCAGCCAAGCCTTTGAAATGACTGTGTCCCCTCTAAGTGGCCAGAGCCCAGAGGAGAAGTGGAGACTCAGGTTCCATATCCAAACTTAAATCATCTCCAAATGCAAAAGGCACAAACAGAAACCCCATTCCCAGCAGCCACCCACTCCTTCCTGGCACTCATAATAACTTGTCTGATAAAAGAACTGGTGCTCACAAGTTGGGAAAGCAGGATAGGGAGTTGGAGAGGCAGGAAGGTGCTACTCTGCAAAGACAGAGGAGGAGAGAAGTTGGCTTGGCCACACAAAGACATGGAGACAGCATGGGAGGCAGAGCAGACAATGAGCCTGTAGGTGAGCTACCTGTGTGGAGGCAATGAGGTGGGAGCTTCAGTGGGAGGGTCTCAGTCTCCTATGCTGGGCTCCTGAGCCCCCTGCAGGTGCCAGGGGTGATGGTGGTCTGGTCCCAGCAACAGACTCCACTCTGCTTCTGCTTCAGTCTTGCCAGGGGGTCCAGAGCTACAGAGAGCCCGTGCTCAGGAGCAGAGGGCAGCCTTCTGGGAGCAGCCAGTGATGTCACAGGCCATGAGCAGAGGAGAGAGGAGGAGGGAGGTGTGCATGGGGCTGACAGACACCGGCCCCAAGGCAGAGCAAACCACAGCCAAAGACCCATTCTGTCCTTCCATGGGAATCCTCAGAGCCCATCCAGTGTGTACCTGCCACCATAAAGCAGGTACAGAGCCATCTCTCATGCAGGTCCCCGGGACCCGGAGTGCACCCATCTAGGGACCAGTACTCCTGAAGGCAATGGAGAATATGGAAATGGGGGAATTTCAGACTGTCTCCTGAAGGCTTGGAATGCGCAGAAGCCCAAGTGTGACTTCCAGAACCACAGAGGGCTTCCCAGCCAGAGAACACATGCCAGGGGTCTGGGGTCAACTCCTGGGTCTTGTGTGTATTACTATCAAAGAGAAATGGGTATATAGACGGATACTGAATACTGGCTGAGTTGGCCCCTAACTCTCTGAGAGAATGATGGTACATGTAGAAAAGCATGTGTCATATAGCACCAGCTCTCTCCACAGAGCATCTTCACCAGCGCTCCAGTTGGCTCCTTGGCTGAAGTGACACCAAGGGTGAATTTTTGCCTAGAAATAGGGGCACCTTCGACTCGAGAACCCTGGCAACAGTGGTGGTGGTAATGAGCCTCTAAGCGTAGTTAGGAAGAAGGCGGGATGTTTATGAGGTATGCAGCTTTGTTTTTCTTCTTCCATCTCTGGATGTTATCAGGCTCCAACCTACTAGGGATTTGGTGCTTTTTAACTCTATGTTATGAATGACACCCCTGTTCCCATAGAGAACACCAAAGGCTATCTGGATCATTGTCGGGACCGGTGGGGGAACCAGTAACTGGCTAGGTGGCTCTTGTGGAGTGGGATGCTGGAAATGAAACACAGCCTAGCGATGGAAGCTTCATGGCCACCATAGTCTTGGGCAGATCCTTCATGAAGGATTCAACATGGAAAGTCCTTTGGGTCCATTCCATACCTTGGACTTGGTAAAACCCTCTCAGAAGTCAGGCTGAAAGCAAGCAGGGTGCAGGGCAATAAGACTAGACCCAGAGGGTGGAAGAATGGATTTTGCTGGCCAGCGCTCAGGTCTTGGGGAGGAATGGGGTGGGATGTTCTACATTCAGCTTGATCCTAGGGTTGGGAACACTTGTTCTTAAAACAGGGCCAAATGTATCACAGAAATGGCTTTTCTATCTTACCCTCATATGTACTCCCCTCCTTTTCAGCCTCCTTCAGCACCCTCAGGCTGGCCTAGAGCCCTGGGCCATGGGGGAGACTGCAGCACATAGGCAAGTGCCTGTAGAAACCATTCAATCCTTGGGCAGCTGGGACCGGTGCTCCCTCTACTCAGCCATGCCTGGGTGAGAGAGGGTCTCATGGAAGTCCTGTGGTAGGTCTGCTCTCAGTCCTCCTTTACGGTCTCATCCCTTCCCCCCACATGTGCCCCTGATCTGGGGACCCAAGCCTGCAGGTCCTGACCCGCTATTCTCATAGACAGCTGCGTGAGGGTGGAGATAGGGGTATCAGGGGGAGAAGGGACAAGCCCTGGCAGATGGTGGTGGCAGCGATTTCCCCCATAAACCACCCTCTCCCCCCGCCTTTACAACGCGCTCTTGGGTCTGAACAAACAGAGGCTTTCGACCCAGAGATGATGGGGGGAGGGAAAAGAGAGGAAGGGCCCTGGCAGGGGGGCCTAGCCAGCCCAAAGGCTCAGCCACTCAGCCCTCTCCCCAGCGCACCAGACTGTTTGAGGAGCAAATATCTGCCCTCACTGTCTGACTCTCTCAACCTCCCCCTCCAGGTTTGGGGCTAATTGTCCCTCATTAGCTAGGCCCAGGCTGCCACCAGCCCCCGCCATCTGCTCGAAATTATACATTAACTCAGAGGTCTTGCCACCCGCCAGCCAGGCTGCGCGCCCCTCTCCAGGCCACCCGTGGCCTTTCCAGCCTGTCCCTCACCCTGCTGCAGAGCCCTAACTGCTGGCGTCTTCTGCCCTCAGGACCTCCTAGGATGAAGCCCAGTGGCTGTGGGAAAAGATCTGTCCTCCGGAGAGGTGGCTGGAATTCCCCTGCCCTCCTCAAGGGGCCAGAAGACAAGACAGTCTCGTGCGTAAAGCTGGAGAGGACAGGGCGCAACCCGTGCCGAGCCCAGGCGGCGGCTTCGGTCTAACGCCTCACCGGGGGTTTCTGGCACTCACTGGGGGAGATGACACCAGTTCCAGGCTGTTTCCACCCCTCCCTGTGGCATCTGTTAGTAGGCTGTGGGGTTCTGTCTCGCATCTTCCCTCTCTCCAGCAAGCACCATCTCATGCCAGCCCTCAGCTTTCCAGAGCGCGCTGTTAGCCGCCACCTCTCCAAAGTCGCACTCTGGCAACACTTGCCTCCTAGTTTAAAGTCAGCCGTTTCCTTGCTACAAAAACATGGGGAATCTGCAATGCCCTGGGTATTCCTAAGCTTGACATTGACTCTGCAACCCCTCCTCACCCTCATAACTTTATGTAGTTATTCTGCTCTCCCCACCCAGACGCTTCGCTTAACACTTGTAAATCCCTGCGCTTATCGCTCTGTTTCTAGAAGGCTGGCTATCTGGCTCCCTCCCTCCCAATGCGCCTGGGAGGCAGTGAAGTGCGTGTCCTCCCAACTGAGGCTTTGAACTGGGGCACAGAAGATGCCCCCCTTTCCCCTCCTTTTTACCATGAGCCCCTAGCTTCTGAGCTCAACCCTTACCCAGATTTTTCTCAGGACTGGGCTTTGCTCGGTAGGGTGGTGAGTCTGCACCCTCTAGAGAGAGCTGGGGATTTGAAAAGTTAGAACCAAGAGCCTAAGAAAGCCAGACAAGGAAACCCATGGGGACGTGAAGGACAGGCCAGGAAGAGCCCAGCCCAGAGACGCCAGGGACAGCACCGTGCGACCCAGGCTACGGCTGACCGCAGCGCTCAGCCAGGGCTCTGCGCGCAGCCTGTGGAGAGCGCGTGCTTGCGTCCGCATGCGCACCAGCCCGGCCAGTGTGGGGAAGGCGCTGGGTTCAGGCTGGGGTTTTCACACCGGTAACCTGAAATTCAATCTGTTCCCAGGAGACCACCAGCTCTGTGCTCCGCAAAGCTTCCCTCCCTCTTCCCACCCAGGTTGCAAAGAGTAGAGCATCTGGGAAGGCAGAATAGCAGTCCATTTTTTAAATACACTTGAATTAACTTTGTTTTTTAGAGCAGTCTTAGATTTACAGAGAACTTTCAAAGATAGTACAGAGAGTCCTCATATGCCTTACACCCAAGTTCCCTGATTATTAACATCTTACATTAATATTGTATATTTGTTGTTTAACCAATATTGATATGTTATTATTAACTAAAACTAGTCTGTATTCAGATTTCTTCAGGTTTTCCCTGTTCCAGGACCCCATCCAGGTCTCCACTTTACATTTAGCTTCCACATATCCTTGGCCTTCTCCTGGCTGTGACAGTTTCTCAGTTTTTTTCTTGTTTTTGGTAACTTTGAAAATTTTGGGGAGTCAGGTATTTTGTAGATTTTCCTTCAAATGGGATTTGTCTGATTTTTTTTTTTTTTTTTTGAGACAGAGTGTGCTCCTGGGCACATGCAAGTTGGGAAAAGGGCAAGAGAGTCAGAGAGAGAGAGAGAGAGAGAGAGAGAGGGAGAGAGGGAGAGAATCCCAAACAGCCTCCTTGCTCGGCACGGAGCCCCTTGCAGTTCCATCCCAGGACTCTGGGATCATGACCTGAGCTGAACTACCCAGGAGCCCATAATGTTTTCCTAATGGTTAGACTGGGCTTATGAGTATTGAGGAAGATCAAAAAAGGTAAGTGCCATTCTCATTATATTAGGGGTACTTGCTGTCAAATGACTGATCTCTGTTGATGTGGACCTTGATCGCCTGGCTGAGGTAGTGTTTGTCAGGTGTCTCCACTGAAGTTACTCTTGTGCCTCCTTTCCGTGCAGTGCTTTTCTGAAGAAAGTCCTTACACTTGAGGGAGGGGGAGTATGTTTTCAGTTCGAGGGTGGAGTATCTACATAAATCATTTGGATTTCTTCTGCCCAGGAGATTTCTCTCTTCCCTCTCATTTACTCAATAATTTCTTTATATAAATATGGATTTGTGGATAATTATTTTATTCTTTGCATTATAATCCAATGTACTACTTTATTTCGTTGCTCAAATTGTTCCAACCTTGGCCATTAGGACCTCTTTCAGTTTGACCCCTGTATCCCTTTGGCATAGCTCATTGTTGTGGAGTTTGGTTTTTATCTCTAGCATGTGTGTGTGTTTCCTTACTTTTTTGGAACTGCAAAATGACCCCGGCTTATCTTGTATATTTCCTGCCCCAGGGTTAGGATCAGCCATTTCCCCAAGGAGCCCCAGGAATCATTACCTTGTGGGGGATAAAGAAAAGGGAAGGGAAGGGAAGGGAAGGGAAGGGAAGGGAAGGGAAGGGAAGGGAAGGGAAAGGAAGGGAATAGTATGAGAAATAAAGATCTGGTGCTAGATACATTTGTTGCTACTGGGATGTTTTGAGGTTCTCTCAGGTTACAGAGCAGAGAAATAGATGTGTGTGAACTAAGTGTCTATAGACATGTCTATAAATAGTTCTATATGTGACCATTTGAATCTATATTAAACTACACATGTTTAACTAAACATGATTATCCACTATTACATGGATCCTCCCCTCCTAGTTCCTATGAACACCGTATAATATTTATGTACAACTTATTTTCTGTTCGTCTTGCAGACTCCACTCATTTCCAAAGATACCTGAATCAGTACCGAAACCCCCACTCCCTTCACTGAAGCTATTTCCTACATTTGTAATACAGTTAGATTATTTTGTCACATTCTGGATTTCATCTTAGGAGCCCCTGACTTCTACATCATTTTTTAAAAGTTTGCATACATTAAGGTTCACTCTTTGTGCTATAAAGTCCTATAGAATTGATAAATGCACAATGTTATGTATGCACAAGTACAGTTATTGTACAGAGTAGTTTCATCACCCTGAGAAATCATCGGTGCTACACCTCTTCGACCTTCCTCCTTACCCCCAAGTCCCTGGCAACCACTGATCTTTTTACTATCACTATAATTTTGCCTTTTCTACAATGCTGTATAATGGAGCCATGTGGTATGTAGCCTTTTCAGACTGGCTTCTTTCACTCAGTAATATGCATTTAAGTTTCCTCCATGTCTTTTCACTGCTTGATACCTTATTTCTTTTTAGCGCTGAATAATATCCCATTGTCTGTATATACCACAGTTTCTTTATCCATTCACCCACTGAACGACATCTTGGTTGCTTTCAAGATTTGGCAATTATGACTGAAGCTGCTACAACATCCATGTGCAGGTTTTCGTGCGGACATAAGTTTTCAGCTCCTTTGGGTAATAACAAGGTGCACAATTACTGGACCAGATAGTAAAAGCAGTTTTGTGAGAAACTGCCAAACTGCTTTCCGAAGTGGCTGTACTGTTTGCATTCCCACCAATAATGAATGAGTTTTTGTTGCTCTGCATCCTTTCTAGCATGTGGTGGTGTCAGTGTTCCAGATTTTGGCAATTCTGTGTGTCGTGGTATCTCATTGTTGTTTTAATTTGCATTTCCCTGATGACCTGTGATGTGCATTATCTTGTCATGTGCTTATTTGCTGTCTGTGTATATTTGGGGGGAGGGGTCTTTTAAGGTCTTTGGCCCATTTTTTCATCAGATTGTTTCTTACTGTTGAGTTTTAAGTGTTCTTTGTTTTTGGATAATGGTCTTTTATCAGATGTATCTTTTGCAAATATTATCTAACAGTTGTGGCTTGTCTTCAATTTTTTTTGACATTGTCAAACATTACATTGTTTACAATAAAATTAAAAATTTTATTTTTAATTGTAATAAAATCCAGTTTAACAATTATTTCCTTCATGGATCATATTTTAGATGTTGTATCTAGAAAGATATCGCCATACTTATAGACTTCAATTTTTTAAGAGCAGTTTTAAGTTCACAGCAAAATTAGGAGGAAGGCACAGAAATTTCCCACAACCCCCCTATCCTCTACACATATATAGCCTCCCCCATTTTCAATATCCGCCATTTGTTACCACTGATGAAACTAAGCTGTGGATTTTGTAGATATTCCTTATTGGGTTGGAGTAGTTTCCCTGTAATCCTAGCTTACTGAGAGTTTTTATCATGAATGGATTTTGTTAAATGCTTTTTCTACATCCGTTGATATAACTTTTTTTATTCTTTAGCCTGTGGATGTGGTGGATTATATTGATTAATCTTTAAATGTTGAACCAGCTTTGCATACCTGGAATAAATCCAGTTAGTCATGGTGTATAATTCTTTATATACATTGTTGGATTCAATTTGCTAATATTTTCTTGAGGAATTTTTCATCTATATTAATGAGACTTATTGGTCTTCAGTTTTCCTTCTTTGTAATGTCTTTATCTCCTTGGGTATTAGGGTAATTGATGTCGGTCTCATAAAATGAGTTAGGAAGTGTTTCCTCAGATAGCCAACTTTGAGAGTGAAGGCAGAGTCTGTCAAGCAGATGTAACTCAGGCTGAGAGAGACACACAAAGCTCATCTCCTGTAAGTCCATCCAGGACAGTTTGATTCAGTAATTAACCATCAAACCTCAACTCCTGTCCTTTCCCTGCTATGTTATCTGCATGATCTTGGGCCAGTTCACTATTAATTTAACAGATGATTATTGAACACCTACTATGTACCAGGCACTGGGATAGTGGTGGTGAATAGTCAGAGAAAGACCCTCACCATCTGATTTCACTCATATGTGGAATTTAAGAAACAAAACAAATGAGCAAGGGGAAAAAATAAGAGAAAGAGAGAGAAACAAGCCAAGAAACAGAGCAAACTTATGGTTACCAGAGAAAAAGTGGGTTGGGGGGATAGGTGAAATAGATGATGGAGGATTAAGAAATGCACTTGTCAGGGTGCCTGGGTGGCTCAGTCAGCTAAGCAGTTAAGCAGTTAGGCTCCTAATTCTTGATTTTGGTTCAGGTCATGATCTCATGGTTCATGATTAATTTGAGCCCCCAGTTCTAGCTTGCTTGGGATTCTGTCTCCACTCCTCCCCTCCCATCCTGCCCTGCACACTCTCTCTCTCAAAATAAATAAATACACTTAAAAAAAAGTGCACTTGTTGTGATGAGCACTGGGTGATGTATGGAATTATTGAATCACTATATTATGCTCCTGAAACTAATAAAACACTGTATGTTAACCATACTGGAATTAAAATTAAATTAAAAATATAGGGGCACCTGGGTGGCTCAGTAGGTTAATCCTCTGACTCTTGATGTCGGCTCAGGACTGGATCTCACAGGTAGTGGGACTGAGCCTTGTGTTGTGCTCTGTGCTGACAGTACTGTGCCTGTTTGGGATTTTCTCTCTTCCCTTCTCTCTGCTTCTCCCTCAATTGCACACTCTCTCTCAAAATAAATAAATAACCTTTAAAAATTTTTAAATAAAAAAAGACAAATCCTAGCCTTCTTGGAACTTGCTTTTTTATTGATTTGCATCTTAAAAATTTCTGTGCTTGCATTTCCTATACCTTTAAAAGGGGACTATGGTAGTACCTACCTTGCAGGACTGTTGTATTATATAAGTTAATATATGTAAAGAACATTCTATATAAGTATTATATTATTATTGTTATTACTACTACTGTTATGTGCCAGTAGGTAATACCATTATCTGTTGACTGAGTTCAGTAGTTCTAGTCTAGGAGATTCCCAGTGCCCGGCCCCCCCCAACCTGCTGCCCTTACTCTGCACTCCTGTTGTTTCTGCTTTTCACTTGTTCAGTTGACCCTCCTGATCTCTGAGCTCATTAAGCCTATTATATGAAATTCCTTCTCTGACCTAGAGTTACTGGGAGGTAGTTGAGTGGCTATCTTTCTGCTGCCTTTGAAATATACTAAAAGTTTTGCCTTGTTGAAAGGGAGCGGATGAGGAACAAAAGTCACTAGCAATCCAAAGTCTTTGCATGTGAGCTGTCTGAAGGCTGTGGGGGCGTGGCCGGCATAGGACAGAATGAGAGGGACTGTGTTACCTTTAATGTAGCCATCACTGAAGCTAGATCTGTAACAGGTCCTACATGAGAAAGCTCAGTGCTCCCACTTGGGTAACTTCCCACTGCTTTACAAAACCAAAGGCAATGGAGAAGAAAACTCCCTCCCTAAGGATAAGGATCTTATCTCTCCCAGAAATCCAGAGCTCTTAATCTTTACTGTGCCTCCAAAGGCCTCCCAGGCAACACCTGCTAAGGCCAACAGAAGTCACGACCCTATCCAGAGAGCAAGCTATGTAAAGATAGGTGGTTATAAAGAAAGTCTCATTATTATCTGGCTTGGCACCATCAAACACAGTAACCAGACTGTGAATGGCCCATGGTCTCAGGTGTCATCATCAGCCCACCTGGCATCCCTTTTGCCACCATCCTCTGCTCACTTGATACCTCCTTTCTGGTCCTCAGGTCCACTCACTCTTGGTTTTACATCAAACTGCCTGCACTTTTAAGTCTCCACTATCTGGAATCAATGATTTTAGCCTTTCCTGCACTGCAACACATTACTGCCACCCCCCCCCCCCGCCTTGTTTTTTCCTGGAAGACGTACAACACTAATGTGTAGAGGAAACTCTCTAGTTCTCCTTCCTTCTCCCATTCCCCAGCATTTAGACCGCCCATGGCACCCACTATACCATTTTCTCTTCAGTCACCTGGCACCTTGAGTTCTTTCTTTCTCTTAGTTTTCTTTATATTTTTTGTAATTTAATGTATAATAATAATTGTTCCAACCAAACGGTGGTGGGAGAGAAAGCTGGCTATTGGTGCTTGACCCTCGCTGAGATCAGTCCCTTGGGAGCCTGGCAGATTGAAGAGGCGGCCCTCTGTGTCTGCATACGGGCTCCCCCTGCAGCCTGCCCAGTGTCCTGCGTGTGGTGTGGACAGCATAACAGTAGCAATGGGTGACCCAGAAAAATCACATCTCTCCTGAGCAGTGTGACTGTCGGGAGAGTCAACAGCAGGTCAGAAAGGTCAAAGAAGATACAGGCTTGGGAAAGACTTGGCAGCTGCCAGCACCCTGAAGCCCAGGTCCCTGTCCATCCCACATTCTCCCACATCTACTCCCTGTGTCCCCCTTCAGGCATCACGTGTCTTTTTGCCTCCAGGGATGGAATTGAAAAGACTGGCTCTGAAAGCTAACAGAGTAAAATCTTTGGGGTATTATTGCCACTGTTAGAGGAAGCTAAGTTTGAAAACAGAATTCCCCCTCTTCTTTTTTTTTTTTTAAGAGAAAACAGGGAATTTATATTAAAACAACCAG